GCTCTGTTATTTCAGTAGGGGCAAATTTGTGTGTGTGTGTGTGTGTGTGTGTGTGTGTGTGTGATTTTTAGCAGCTTTATTGGGAAGTAATTTATATCCAACAAACTACATATATTTACAGACTACAAGAAGGATTGATATACATCCACTCCAACATAGATACGGACATGTGTATACATTTTTATGTCTGACTAGTGCTGCAGAGAAGACAGTGTTTGGCAGGCACACTGCAGGGACAAATGATGATTTCTATGATTAGATTCTCAGAGGGCAAATTCTGACTTTCTCATTGGTAGTGGTTGGATTTTGCCATGTGGCAAGAGGGGAAGGGGGCAAACGGAAGATCAGATATGAAGGCTAAGGAGGGCAAAGACCCAGTCCTACTTTTAGTATGGCTGGAGAAGATGGTGTTTGGGGGTGGAGCAAACTATTTGTACTGTCACTGGTGTCTGGTGACAGATACAAAAGCATCGATCTCTGTCATTTCCCTGCATAGTGGCCGTGATGGCCCCTTGCCATGGGCTCCTTCCCTAGAGGAACTCTGTTCCTTTTCTGCTGAGAAAGCAGATCTAATGTAAGGGAGACATCACACTGGCAGAAGCTTAAGTCTGCCGTAACCCAGGGTTAGACAGACCCACCCTTGAACATCAGCTCTTGACTGCACATCTTGTGAGGGCTCTGGCACACTCAGCACACGAGGTGCCCCCCCACCTGTGGTCATTTCCTCTGAGTTTCTGACCCCCTCAGAGAGTTCAGCCTCTGCAGGGTCCCTGAGCCGCGCCCTGACTTAGAGGAGACCCCATCACTCACCTGGCCACTGGGAATGTACTGGGGAAGGGAAGCCGCAGCCTGCAGGCCTCCACCTGCTCACGCTGCCCCTCCACCCAGATCTGAACTCCCAAGGCCCACCCCTCCCAGGGTCTGCCCCTACTTTGTAGTTCTTGGTTTAGCCATAAATATAAGAATCCAAAAGACTGGTACCATTGCATTCACACCCCTTTATAGTAATATTTGAGAATGTGGCCATCTTCTCTGGTGGGTTATTATAACTGGATCTTAATGTGATTTCCACTTTGTTTTCTAAACCTTTTTTCTTAGCTACAGATTGATAATAAATTATATTTTCATATCTCTTAGAAATAAAATATCAGCAAAAGATAAGATTCATTTTTAACACGTTATTTTTTTTTAACACGTTATTTATTAAAATGTCTTCACTGTATTCCCTCAAGCAGACTCTGTGGGTTTTACGATGGATGCAAGCCTGGGTACAGTTAGCCAGTAGAGGGGTTAAAATACTCAAAGCTGCCGCATATGGCAGCAAGTACAATCGCAGATGTTGATGACACCACGTAATTAGTATTCTTTTATGTAAATGAAGGCTGTCAGCATGTTACCATAGTGTCTCCTCTCTCTGAAACTGGAATTTATGCCATTCTGTCTCACCAAGACCAAGCAGGATTATTCCATGGCTCTTAGTTAAGAATAGACAAAAAAAATCAATACACTGGTGGGGGTTGGGGGTGCGGCTCCCCGACATAGATTCCTGTTTTCTCCTATTCCATTTTTGTTAGTTTCCTTCTCCCTCAGAAATTTTATTTCTGGTGATACCATTATACATTTAAGATCTGCTAAGAAATCTGTGTTTGAGAATAATTGGAATAGTCCAATTAAAAGACAATATTTTCAAGGTGTAGATTTTCGGAAAGATTATTATAATGTTCCTTCATCTCTCATATGGAGACTTTAAAATGTGATAAATCTAGAAGTTTCTCATCAGAATAAAAGGCAAAAGTTAAAAAGATTTCATTATCTTTTCATTTTCTACTTAGTGACATTTATCTATAGAATTATTTAAAGTATTGATTATGATCTTACGTGCTAGTTGATTCTGATTTTTGAAATAAAACTATGGTAATTAAAAAAGCAAATGCCAGTATTTTTGCAGGTTGCCTTTCCTTGTGTGCAGATGGGTCCAGGGTGTGCAAGGCCTTTATTACGTGGCTGATCTACTTAATGATGTAGATCCAGGCTGACATTTCATGTTTCTCCCAATTACACAGCAGGTTTGTCCGTTTTGGATATTGGGTGCCTGTCACACTGCATGATGTGTGTTTTATGTGGAAATGTTAGAATTATTGTGACCTTTGAGAATACTAAAGGAAAGCTGTTCATGTCAGAAAAATATAAAATAGAATTCCTCTTTCTAGTAGAAGGCACAAGGCTTCGTTCTGAAAAGAAGCAGGGTGGTATGGGAGGTGGATTAGACGGACATGCTTGGGCGAAGCCTGCCTGAGGTTTTGTTCTTTTTATCCTCTATATTACATGTTGGATAAGGATGCTTTTTTCTTTTGTGTCACCTCTGGGAGATTCCATTTCCTGATCAGATACAGTTTCCTCTAGAGAAGCCAGTCTGCCTGGGTGAGACCAGAGCGGTAAGGTGCAAAGTAGCCCTGTATTTTCCTGAATGGACTCAGCCTGCCATATGGCAGGTGAGTGAGTCACCACAAGAGGTTTGTAATGGGAAAAGGGCTGTGCAGAAGAGGATGTGCATGAACAGCAGATCCACAGATCAGAAAGCGAAATGGGAAGAATTTCCCAAGTGCCTTTCCATTTGACAGGTCTTCTGCACAGTAAAGGTGTGGAGTAGTTTTTGGTATTTTTCTATTGTGGCTTTTGGTTTTCTATTATATTTTTTCTAGCACATGAGTAAGCCGTGAGTGTTGTGGATGTTGTGCTGCTGCACTCCTACTTAGGGAGATGCTCCCTCTCTGGAGGGTGTGAACCTGTGCCATATTTTACAGGGTAAGAAAGCTCCTGATGGTAATTAAATTCCTAAAGACATCAAGGCAAAAATGAGGAATGGCCAAGCCTCAGGTCTTGAGTTGTAAGAGATATGGATCACATATGATTCAGTGAGTACTTACCTTTCAAAAGGAAGAAAAGCAGAGTGAACTAAATCTAGTTTAGGGCCTGGGATTTAGCTCAGTGGTGCCGCTGCCTGCCTCACAAGTACAAAGTCCTGAGTTTGATCTCTGGTACCAAAAAAACCCCAAACCCAACACTAGTTTATCCCGGTATGTTCAAGCCTGTGCTATGCTAGTACTGCAGCCACTAGGCACATAGGATTATTTTAGTTGTAATTAATTTGACATGCAGTCCCCTGGTCTCACCAGCCACACCCCCGTCCTTGGCAGCCACACTTAACTAATTGCTGCATGGAGAGAATATTCTGTGACTGCTAAGAGTCCCATTGGACTGTGTCAGTCCGAGTGGAAGAGTTTGATTTCTGTAAATGCTTCATCCCTATATAATTTATTGGATTAATACAATGGTTCTAGGGTTTTAATGTGCAAAAGCCTCATCTGTAGCTTTTAAAATGGAGATTTTTAAACCCCTGTCCAGATTTCAATTCATCAGATCTGGAGGAGGAAACAGGAAGTTGCCTAGGGAATTTGGATGCTGATAGTTGGTTGAGGGACTACATTTTGAAAAATTGTGAAAAATTGGGGAATTGCTTATCCCTTGATGTTTTCCCCCTTCATTCTTTTATCATTGACTGACTCTTGTGTGCCCCCAGTGATTGGTTGAGAGAATCATGTGTACCAACTTGTATTCTCAATTGGTATTATTTAGCAAAAAAGATTAATTGTTTGTTTACCCTTTAATATTTTTTTTTCTTTTGTACTAGGGATTAAACTCAGGGCCTATACACTGAGTTAGATCCCCAGCTCTTTTTTTTTAAATTTTGAGACATGGTTTTGCTAAGCCACCAAATTCCCCAGACTGGGCTTGAACTTGCCTTCCTCCTGCTTCAGCCTCCCACACTCCTTTCATCCTTGGGGAGTGAGTGTTGGGAAACAAATCCAGGGCCCCCACACATGGTAAGCAGGCATCTATAGGCCATACTCCAGCTCCTGGAAGGGTAATTCTGACAATACTTTAGACCTCTAAGAGCTGAGCACTCATAGATCTTGTCATTATAAAGAAGGAAAAAGAAATATAGTGCATGATCTCCTCTGCAGGAATTGTATCTAGTCAGAAAATGGACAGACTTATCCAGAGAAATTACTTAAATGATACTCAGCAACACCCAGAAAAATAATAATCAGAAAACTAATAATAATTAGGAAAATAATACAACAGAATCTAAATCCTGACAGTTGTCAAAGAGAAAGCATGATCTAGCTCTGTTGAGGAGCTTCTAGCTTCCTTTCCTTGTGCAAGCTGAGGGAATTTAAAACCAGGGAGTGGGGTATCCAAGGTCCAAAGGATAAATATTTTCTTGTGAGGTAGTTATTAGCTTCTTTCCTTAGAGAAGTTGCTTCCTAGGCTTCTTGTGAGCAATATTGAAGAAGCAGTGTTAGAAAAAAGTACTTGGTTGTTAACAAAGAGTATGTTCATATCCATCAACGGGCAGATTTGTTGCTAATTTTCTCGTCTCCGTGGTTAGATTAAACGCTGCCGTTCCAGCACCACACCACCCCTCCTCCTCAGTTAGACTGATCTGATTCTTTATTACCCTTTCAGCACAGCAGATGGAAGGGTCCCCACCCTTTCTACAAGGTGTCAGTGTTCTTTTTTAAAAAGATACATATAAAATGTTATTTAAATTGAAGCCCCATTGGGTATCACTAAGATGATACTTTGTGGAAGATTCATTTCCTTTCCTTTTTTAGAATAGGGTCTCACTCTGTAGCCAGACTGGCCTGGATCTCCCTCCTGCCTCAGCCTCCTAGAGTGCACTTTTTTCTCTTTTCCTGATCCTGTGTCTACATTGAAATCAACCTGAGGTTGCCTTTTTGTTTGAGGCTCTTTATCTTTCCCTTGGCAACTGGGAAGAGATAAAGTTTCACCTTTCAAAGGAAGGAATTTTGAATTGAAAACGAATGAGTCTTGAGTTGAAATGCCAATTGCAGCCTTCCTCTGGAAAATTTTGCTCAAAGTTTTTGTTTTGTTTTTCCTTCTCCGTCCCCGCCTTTGGGGCCCTGCTGCACTAGGTTGAGGGAGTGGCGACTGAGCTGAGACATGGATAGATGCAAACATGTAGGGCGGTTACGGCTGGCGCAGGACCACTCCATCCTGAACCCCCAGAAGTGGCGCTGCCTGGAGTGCGCCACCACCGAGTCGGTGTGGGCCTGCCTCAAGTGCTCGCACGTGGCCTGCGGCCGCTACATCGAAGATCACGCCCGGGAGCACTTCGTGGAAACCGGACACCCGCTGGCCATGGAAGTCCGGGATCTCTACGTGTTCTGCTACCTGTGCCAGGACTACGTGCTCAATGACAACCCCGAGGGGGACCTGAAGCTGCTGCGAAGCTCGCTGCTGGCAGTGCGCGGCCAGCAGCAGGACCAGCCGGTGCGGCGCGGGCGCACTCTGCGCTCCACGGCCACGGCCCCGGGCGAGGATGCTGCCCCGCCACCGCGCACGCCCCGGGGGCAGCCACAGATGCTTGCAGCGTTGTGGCACCGGCGCCAGCGCCTGCTGGCCAGGACCCTGCGGCTGTGGTTCGAGCGCAGCTCACGGGGCCGCGCGAAGCTGGAGCAGCGGCGGCGCGAGGAGGCGCGGGAGCGCAGCAGGGAGGCGGCGCAGGCGCGGCGGCGCGAGGAGAAGCGACGGCTCCTGGAGGAACTGGCGAGCGCGCCCCCGCGCAAGAGTGCGCGCCTGCTGCTGCACGCGCCGCGCCCCGCCGCGCCCGCACCCCCTGCACCCGCCGTGCTCAAGCCACGCCGCCAGCCAGCCACGGCCCCGGGAGTCACGGGCCTGCGCAACCTGGGCAACACCTGCTACATGAACTCCATCCTGCAGGTGCTCAGCCACCTCCGCAAGTTCCGGGAGTGCTTCCTGAACCTCGACCCCTGCACCACTGAGCACTTGTTCGCCCAGGCTGCGCACCGCAAGGCTCGGCTCTCAGCCCCGGAGCCGCAGGCCCGGAGCGACAGAGCTGAGGCGTGCAGGCGCGACGGCCTCTGCTGGAACGGAGGGGTCTCTCTCAGTCGGAGCCTGGAGCTCATCCAGAACAAGGAGCCCAACTCCAAGCACATCTCGCTCTGCCACGAGCTGCACACGCTCTTCCGAGTCATGTGGTCCGGGCGGTGGGCCCTGGTGTCGCCCTTCGCCATGCTGCACTCCGTGTGGAGCCTGATCCCTGCCTTCCGCGGCTACGACCAGCAGGACGCGCAGGAGTTTCTGTGCGAGCTGCTGCACAAGGTGCAGCAGGAGCTTGAGGCTGAGGGCTCCACACGCCGGATCCTCATCCCTTTCTCCCAAAGGAAACTCACGAAGCAGGTCTTAAAGGTGGTAAACACCATCTTCCACGGGCAGCTGCTCAGCCAGGTAGGTGTGCGCCGCCCAGGGCCACCTAGGTTAGCCAGAATTGAGGGTGGCTGTTGTCCCTTTGTGTTCACAGTGCTGGCTTTATTGGAGAGCTTGCCCACTCTTTCCAGCCAGATTACTGTCAGAGAAGACCTGGGTAGCCCAGAATGTTCTTTGTTATCATTAAGTGCCCATGGCTGCTTTCCATCCTTTGATCACTTGTGGGGAACTGAATACAGCCTGCCTGTAACCCTGGTTCCATGGTAGTTTGAAAGAACATTCTTCCTTTTTTATCTACAAGGAGGAGAGCTGGCTGAGAGCATGCCAAAGACCTAGACAAGCCTCCTTCCTAGTCCCCTTTGCCTTTTATTCCCGGGTCTTTAGCCAGATAGGGACCTAAGCAAAAGTGTATAGATAAAGCTTTGTGAGACTATGCAGAAAGAATTTTCATAGATGGGGTGGGGGCAATTTAGGAGATTTGGGTAAAACTGCACTGAGCTACTGAGGTTTTGTGTCTCCATCTTCAGGGTTTGAAAGACAGTTGAGTGGGAAGGGAAAAGAGTTCAATGAGAATTTTTTTTTCTTTTCCTTTGGTACCAGGGATCGAACTCAGGACCTTGCGCTTCCAAGGCAGGCAGCGGAACCACTGAGCTAAATCCCTGGCCCTCACTGAGGCTTTTTTTTTTTTTTTTTTTCACTGAGGCTTTTTGAAAGCATGTGAAGTGTATCTGGGAGAGTAAAGTGGGAGAGAATGTCTGATCATTACTCTGAAACTGTAGACAGAGGATCAGGGTAGAAGTGGAACAAGGAACAGAGCAAAGGAGTTGCAAGTTGGCTACATGGAAGAACTGAAGTCAAAAGGAAAAAGAAATATGAGGGTGTGAGATGCAGACAACAGCTGCAAATTCTGTCTAGCCTGGCTGCTTGGATGCCTACACTAACCTGCAGCCTGTGTGCTGGGCGTTCCTTGGTAGAGCTGCTGTGGAGCATAGCAAGACAGCACTGGGGGAGTCTCTCTGCTCTGGAGTTCAGCTGTGTAATGCATAGTGGTTAGAAATGTACACCAGATGTCATCCATTCTAGTTCTTTTCATTAAAGCTCTATTATTTTAATATTATATTTTATTTTTTGAAAATTTATACTTGGTTTTGGTAAAGTTATGTTCCTGTACAAAACAAAAAATGTATATGGGAACCATGAAAATTATATAATTTGTGATCTTTTCCTTCTAGGTCACGTGTATATCGTGCAATTACAAATCTAACACCATTGAGCCCTTTTGGGATCTGTCCTTGGAATTCCCTGAACGCTATCACTGCATAGAGAAGGGATTTGTCCCTTTGAATCAGACAGAGTGCCTGCTTACTGAGATGCTGGCCAAGTTCACCGAGACAGAGGCCCTGGAAGGGAGAATCTATGCTTGCGACCAGTGTAACAGTGAGTGCCCCATGGAGGATTTGGGATGGTATAATGAGAATAGCAGTTTAAGGTACTTCTTTTCCCTCTTTGGTCAAAAGTAACACTGATGATAATGAGTGGTCCTAAGCCATCATTTAAACATTCCTTCCTTATGTTCTCTGAGAATAAGCAATATGGACTTTTGTATTAAAAACAAAGGCCTAGGAAGTGTGCCTCCTTTTACTCCTCCCAGTTGGCATTAGTTGTTATCATGACATATTTGGAAGTGGATCCTGAAAGAGGGGCTCTTGCTACAGGGGCCCTGCTTAAATTCATGAATGTCCTGTTAGAGTGTGGCAGCTCTTTTATAATCTAAAATCAGGTGGCATAGCCTCTTTGAGGTCTGTGGTATCAGAACAGCATTATTTTTGTACCAAATTGGTAGGTTTAAATCTGTCAGAAGTGATGCTAAAGACCAGGACAGCAGGTCTTAAGGTGCCCAGTGGCAGTTTCCTGGGTATTTTCAGCTTTGTTTCTTCACATGTTTGAAAGGTTCACATTTCAGAGAAGTCATAAGAAAGTGTCTCGTATCATTCCTTTCATTTTAAATTGAGGCTTTTCCCATTGGTAATATCGGCATCTCATGTCTCGCCACACTGACAAGTAATCCTTCTGCCAACCCAGCATGTGCACAGGAAATGCAGAGCAAATATAGGGAAGCTCATAAAATACGTAATTAGTGGACTGTGCAAAGACCTAGAAATCAGTTTGCAGCCATGTGATAGTTGACACTGTTAAGTTTTGAAAATGTTGTTGTTGTTGTCCTGCAGGCAGTTGCAGTACCGAGGATTGAACCCAGGGACCCACACATGCTAGGCAGGTGCTGCTCTACCACTGAGCTACAGCTCCACTCTGAAAAAAATCTGTTGTAGCACTTTTAATATATTTTGCATAAGGTAGTTGTGGTTTTTGTTTTAAGTACTGGGGATTGGACACAAGGCGTCCCCCTTGCTAGGCAAAAACTTTACCCTGAGCTGCATCCCCAGCCTGGCACATGGTCTTTATGTTGTTGTTGTTGTTGTTGTTGTTGTTTTTTGTTTTTTGAGTCAGGGTCTCATATGCAGTTCAGACTGGCTTTGAACTCACTATGTAACCCAGGCTGGCTTCGAACTTGCAGGTCCTCCTGCCTCAGCCTCCCGAATGCTGGGATTGCAGGTGTGCGGCACTATACCTAACTCAAGCACATGGTCTTTTAAAATAGTAAATTGTGGAAAACCTGTTCTACTCTTTGAAGAATCAGGACAAAAGTGAAAAATCATACTTGATATCATTTTACCATTTTCAAATTTGAAATATTGTGCTTGGCTAACTATAAATCCACCTGTCCTGTTCCATTTTGCCAAACAGAGGCAGGTGAGTTAAATTGTTTTATTAGACCAGTATCTGTTTTTGTTTTTTATTTTTAAAATTGTGGCCCATAAAGCTTTTTGTTTGTAAGGAGCAAAAGAATGTTAATAGCTTTAATGCCATGATTCTAGATATAGTGGAGGAGACAACTAATACTTTCATTTATTTTTTTTCAGACAGAATTGTTTTTCTGGCTACCAGATGTGCCAGTTTATCAGGATTTCTCTAGGCAAGAACACATGGTGGCAGGGAAGGAAAGCTGTGAGAGGATGAGATGCATTGATCTGTCACTTGTGAGGCTTCAGAATTGCAAGTCTTCTACCTCTCTGTGTGGCCATTTTCATCAAATGGAGACAGAACTGATCAATTTCAATTGAATCAGTAATTTCTTTTTCTTTGTGAATTTCATTTTAGGGAAACAAAGCCCGAGTCCACTTTGTCTTTATCTTAGCTCACGTACTCCCTCTGCTGAGGGTGGCAGTCACTGCCAGGTTCCCAAGCAGAGCTGCAGTAATTAAAAAAAATCTGGGAACAGGAATGGAAATAGGGCCAGGCCCCTCTCTGAATGCCCCTTCTGCTCTTGCCCTGAGTGCATGACTGCAGGTCCTGGTGAAAGCTGCCGCTGGGCACACTCATCCTGATGTGGTCCATCACAAGGTGTGTTACATCTCCACAGCCTGTTGCCACAGAGAGCTGTGAACCACCATCAAAGTGCTTTTCCACTTTCCCTGAGGGCTGCAGATAGGCTTTGGAATCAGATAGAAGGCGCTCCATCTGCTGAGACCAGGACAGCAACAGCTCAGAGACAGTTAGCAGGCCCCTCCGTGGATCACTCATTTTTTATTTGCATTCCGGTGTCTCTTTAATCTCAGTAAACACTCTCCAGAAGGCTTCTGGTAGAAATTAAGAGGACTTTATTTCCATTGCCAATTTGCTAAAAATTTAGAAATGCATTTCCTCCATAATTCAGTAGCTTCAGAAACAAACTTAAGAGTCAGAGCACTGGTTCTGTGTTGGGCTGGGTGGCCTTAGCTGGCCTCCCAGCCTTGTTCTGATGGCCAGTACTGCACTTCTATCCAAGAACCAGGTTTCAAAAACTAGGTATGGGGAGCCAGGCATGGTGGCGCATGCCTGTAATCCCAGCACTCCGGAGGCAGAGGCAGGAGGATCACTTTGAGTTCGAGGCCAGCGTGGGCTACATAGTGAGTTCATTGCCAGCCTAAACTACAAACCAAGACCCTGTCTCAAAAAACAAAAACAATAAACAAAAAATAGTTATGGCGTAAAATCACAGAACCAGTAAAGCTTATTCTCTTTTTTTTTTTTTTTCCAGTACCGGGGATCAAACTCAGGACCTTGAGCTTGCAAGGCAGGTGCACCACTGAGCTAAATCCCCAGCGCCCAATAAAACTTATTCTCTGAACATTTGTACATGCCATCCACAAATTGTGCTGAAAAAAATCTTGTTTAGATATTCTGTCCTTGGGTAATCTTATCCTTTTAATCTTTTTCCTAAGCCTCAAATATATGCATTATTCCCTGTTTTACTGGTGAGGAAACTGAGGTTCAGAGTTTTGAATAACTTATTTAGCACACAACCACCTGTGAGCAGGAAAGGGAGTTAGGCCTGTTTAGTGAAAACAAAAAGACTTTGAAACTTACAGTACATCACAATTTCAGTTATCAGTCTAGAAAAGCATAGACCCCTAGAATAGTCAACTCTGTCACACTGTGGCGGTGACCCTCCATTATATCTCATCAGTAAATCCATGGCATCCAGAGTCTGCCATCCTGAAGCTGTACCAATTGTGGAGGTTGCTGTGGGCAAAAATTTGAAAGACGATATATCCAGATTAGGTCTGTTTGCTTATAACATCAACCCAAGTATCAGTAGCTTAAAATGAGATGACATTTTATTATTCTGTTACATAAAAGAAGTCAGAGGCTGGCTCGGTGGCTACATGGTCATCAGGGACCCAAGCTTCTCCTCCCTGTTTTGTGAAACTGGTATAAGGCTTCCATCCTTGAGGCGACCTCAGAGACCTGCAGGAAATGTACCAAACCGTGGGGAGAACAAAGGGACACAGCTTACAACTGAGTTAGCTCTCTCAGTAGCTGTCCCAAGAGTCAAACAGTTACTCCTTTCATCCTAGCCAGAACTCCAGAGCCACACCATGCAGGCCTGCAAAGCTGGGTCACATTGCTGGCCCCAGTAACATTGAGGTTCGAGTCCTGAGACATGAGGGGATGCATATTGAGTGGCAAGTCCATGTCTCTGGCATCTTGGGGAAAGAATGAGACATTTCTCAACCTGTGTCTTATGCCCTTCCAAACCATATAGGCAAGCGGCGAAAATCCAACCCCAAACCCCTTGTTCTGAGCGAAGCTAGAAAACAGTTAATGATCTACACACTACCTCAGGTCCTCCGGCTGCACCTTAAGAGATTCAGGTGAGTGTGTGCTGGGAGTCCCGGGGCTGTGAGCTGTGGGGGTGGTTGCTTCAAAGGCTGGGAGAGGGCGGATGTCTTCTTCCATGTGGGGAGGAGAAGCCCATTCCCCTGAGAGTATACAGCTCCCGCCCACCAAGGCAGGCTGGGTTCTGCTCTGTGACTGTCTCCTTGCCTGGCCGGCACTGCTGTCTTCTTGCAAACCCTCTAGCCTTGCTTGGGCTCATGTGGATCCTTCTTCAGGATGAAGCATAAAATAAACTGGGAAAAAAGAGCAGGCAGAAACTGAAAAGATTGGTGCCTGAGTTGCTCGTTAAGCCATTTCTAGGTTCAGAGTACTTTGGGGAACAGTCACAGCAAATCTGTGTGGATGTTGATGATTACCAGTTTTTGATGGGAAAGCAAAGCCAGAAGCTCCCCATTATGCCTCACTCTCCTATGACTGTGCCTGCCAGTTTTCACTAGTAAGAAGTTTGTGCCCATGTTCTAGGTGGTCTGGCCGTAATCACCGCGAGAAGATTGGGGTCCATGTCGCCTTTGAGCAGGTATTAACCATGGAACCTTACTGCTGCAGGGACATGCTCTCCTCTCTTGACAAAGAGACCTTTGCCTATGATCTCTCCGCAGTGGTCATGCATCACGGGAAAGGGTTTGGCTCAGGACACTACACAGCCTATTGCTACAACACAGAGGGAGGTGCGTGCGCTTTTCTCTGTGGGGTGGGGACACGGAAGAGGGTTGGTCTGTCCACATTTGATTGCTTTCCTTTTATTTCCATCCCATGGGCCACCTAGGGGGAAATTACATACATTAAAGCCCAGTGGAAAGAATTATGAAAGTTGGCTTCATATTTTGGATCTTTGCCACCTACCATGAGACTCTAAGAATGTAAAGGAATTGACACACATAGAAGTGCTTGGGGCAGTGCCGAGCACATTGTGCTTGCTTGGCTGGTGTTGGGCTTATTACAGTGTGACCCAGAGTGCTGGTTATTGGCAGTATTGTTATGGTTGCTGTGGTAATGCTACCTCTGCAGACCCCAGCTTCCTTCTTGGTTACGCACAAACTGGACCTGTGTAACCTCATGTAGCTGTGCTGTGACTCTCACCAGCCTCAGTCATAATAAAGCTGGGGACATTGCTGGGCACTTCCTGTGTCCTCACTATCTCCCATACCCAGGGAAGTGTGGGGAGGCAAGGGTCCCCAGGTGGAGCCTCCTGCGGCCACCCTGTGGCAGATGGGCAGATGTGTTTTGAGCAAGGCTCCATCTTGAGTCCCTCAGCCTTTGAACAAACTCTTTCATTTGTAAGAATGTTTCCTGTATCCCTTCTATTTCTGTTCTTTTCCTCCTTTTCTCACTACTTAGTGCCCAATATCTTGGCTGGCTGTGTGGAAAGCTCTAATGGACAACGTAAGAGCCTGAGTAAAATGAGACAAAATTAGCCCATCAATATTGGTGTTGGGTGTGGTGGGGTAAAGCCCGTGGTTGCAGGGAAGCCTGGTTCCATTTACTTGTCCCTTCCCTCGGCACCGGGAATCCAAGGGCCCTCTGTGCCTTTCTGCACTCCTGGTTCTGTACCCAACTGGAAATGTGCATCAGATAGTCATTTTCTCTTTCTCCCCTTTGGTTTCCTAGGTTTTTGGGTCCACTGCAATGACTCAAAGCTGAATGTATGCAGTGTCGAGGAGGTGTGCAAAACCCAGGCCTACATACTTTTTTACACTCAAAGAACAGTGCAGGGCAATGCAAGAATCTCAGAAACCCAACTCCGAGCTCAGGTGCAGTCGAGCAACAAGGATGAAGGCCGACCTCAGAGCCTCCCCTGATCTGAGGCAGCATCACAGACTGGCTGGCTGTCCTTCTGCTGGTGTCCATTCATCTGTGCTTGCATAGGGCAGAAGGGTTACTGCAGGAAGATTGCTAGGTTTGCTTCACTGGGTCTAGCGTAGAAGGTGCCAAGTGACTCATGTCCTGCCATAACATTCGTAGTCACTTGCTTTTGAATGCTTTTGGAAATGTCCTCCTTTCATGAAACAAAAGGAGTGACTTCTATGAAGAGCATTTCACCTGAATAGAGAGGGACCCGGGTGGAGGAAAGAGGGGTAAGTTGATCGTCCAGCTGAGAGGGCGGCAGGGCTTAAGTGTCCAGCTGCTGAGGCTCTGCTTGCAGCTTGGGAGGAACACTCCCGAGGTGGGGCCAGCAGGCAGGGTGTTGGAGGGGTTCGGTTCCAAGGTGGGAGGTAAAGTCTAAGGGTTTATTCCCACAAAGGAAGTATCCTTCAAGGGTTGAGAATTTGCAGAGTGATTCTCTTAGGGGCTAGCAGTCGAGTGGAGTGAGAGGTGCGGAGTGAGGGTTTTTGCATGTCACGCTGCCTGCTGCTGCTATCGATTGCTCCACACTTGTGATAATTCATAGAAGGAAGTGAAGGGCTAGAGTGTGTTCTCTGTTGCACACTGACCCAGAAGTCACCGGTGGCTGTCTCAGTTCTGCAGTGGCTCCCTGGCTCAGGTCTACGGGAGGCTTGAGGTCACATTTACACTTGACTGGAGGTGGGCTGTCAGAAGCTTTTGGAGAGTGCAGAGGGTGGGCTGGCCCCTCCCTGTGCCTACACCCATTCCCACCTTGTGTGGTGTGCATGCACAGCCTCCTCTCTGGCCCAGCAGCTCCTGCGTGCACCTGAGAGTGAGAACATTGGTGCTGTAAGGTTTGGGAGTTTTGCTTCCCAAGGCCATGGGAATCACTTAGGAATCCACCTGTAGGTGTCCAGCTCATTGTTAATGGCCCTGGCCGGTTTCCTTCCCAAACCTCTTCCCTACTGTGCTTGGCCCACCTGTCCTCAGTGCCTCAGAAAAAAAAGCAAGACTGCCCACCCAGTACTCCAGTGCTAGCAAAATACACTCTTCTCTTTAAATCGGGCCCAATTTGAATGGAGCAAGGTTGCCTAGATGAAACCTTCCTGGCCATCAGGCACCAGCCTCCTTACTCGGCCTCGCTGGGGACAGGGAGACTGGCCCGACCATCATTGCAGTTCGCTGCAGCAAGCCCAGCCGCCCTCGGAACACTCATCTTGATGGAGGGTATCATGTTAATGTCTGAATTCTGGTGGAGCCACCAATGACGCATGAAGGAGACAGGTGTGGAAGGGAGCTCGCGGGGGTGGGAAGTGGGGAAGTGAGGCTAGCAAACAAGGGTTATAGCTTTGGCAGTGCTAATGAGCCGCATTTCCCTAACAGATCGTAGCATTTGCTGTTGACTTCTTTTGCGATGAACTCTACCATGGGACCTACCAGACAGCACTGAGGCATGGAGGAAATTCAGACAGAAAATGGCTCACCCTGATAGGGAAGGAGTGACTGTTTTAAATTAAACTTGCTTTCTCCAACACTGTGAGGTTTCTGTAATACTAGCTTTTATTTGGAAGCGACAGCGTATGGCATTTTTATGCTGCTGGGTTTATACTGTCCAGTGCAGGCTTCTTTGTGTAAGTGCTGCCTGGGCTTGCCCTCTCCTGGACACTGTTTTAAAGTGTCACAGCTGCTGCGCTGCCAGAGGCCTGGTGTGAAGCTACACCCGCAAGGTCCACGTCTGTAAGTTGGTGCGGCTGGTGTGCTTTCAGGAAGGCCCATGAACATGAAAGGAGAGCGGACAGGAAACCGCAAATCGTGCCTCATTGCAAATCCAGTGTTTATTCTAGAAAGAGAACCTACAAGATAGAGAAGAACCAATTGAGCTTCTGCCTCCATCTGCCCAGGGGGAAACAGTATCATAAAAACATAATGAATAATTAAAAGATCTTCAAATTTAATTTTTAAAAATACTTTTATACCAAATACCATAAGGATTATTAAGCAGGTTAAGGATTTTGTAAAATAAGTGTGTAACACAGCTGAGCACCCCTCTATGAAATTAATAAAATCTTTTACAGTGAGTTGGAACAGAAACCAACATCAGAGTCCCTTGACCACATGCTCGTGAAGGTGGCCCCTGCAGCCAGACCCTCAGGTACCAGAAGCAGTAGCACTGAATGTTGCTATTACGTGAGCACTTAGGGAGATTTTTATTACAGGAGAGTTGGCTGCTGCAGGAGCCAGTGGTTTTTATGAGGGAAATATCCCTTTGCCTTTATTTACACATTGGAAGTAGATGAATGTCTCAGTTGCATCTTATATTGAAACATTCTAAAGAGAAGAAAAACAGAACAGGTAGAAGTTGATTAGCTGCTGCCAAATGAAGCCCAAGATCTCCTGCTGAATCTTCAGGGGCCTGCTTCTCTCCCAGGGCGATAGTGAAAGTCCTGCTCCAGGAACCCTTGGCCGTTGACTGGTGTGTTTACTTGCTGCTCTAGCCAGCCAACATGAATGCACCCTGGCCTTCAGAAAAGATTTCTTACCTCAGTCCAACCTGACCCTCAGACTAGTGCTTGCCTGACAGCTGCACCCATGCTAGCGTGAAAATCTTTAGGAATGCCCTCAGCAACAGCAGTGAAGCTCTTAGTAAAGGTGGGACAGAGCTCTTGACAGCTTTGGTCCAGCCCCTTGGGCTGGGGCGGGGGCAATGCCACACTGTAAAGAATTTCTAGACATCTCTTCAAATGTCACGAATAAAAGTAGAAACTGTACAAGTGTTAATGTGTCCTATGGACTCAATAGCAGAGTTTATTTTTGTTTTGAACTGCGAGGCTTCTAGCGTCAATGATTGTATCAGTTCCCTGCTCTGGCTGTGCTTGCAGCTCCATCCAAGTACAAAGGAAGGACCTGTGTGGTGGCTTGGCTGGCAGTGGGGTGTCCCCTAGCATGAGCCCAAGAGAGGTGACAGTAGTGAAGAAGGAAAACTTGGTTGGGGGTGGGGGTGGGATGGGGATGGGAGGCAGGAGGAGGAAGAAATGGTTTGTTTTACTTATTGATAAAGCTTTGTGATCTAATTTTATACAATTCATAAAATTTGGTGCCTTGTACTCAAGTATGGTTTGCATGAGATTGAAAAGATTAAGGGAAAGGATTCCTTCTTGTCATTTCAAGTTGCAAATGGGTCTATGTAGTGTTTAAAGGACATTTGGTATCACAGACTTTTTAAAGCATTTATCTCATGTGTGTGAGTGCAAATTATTACCAGCAAGTTCTGAAATATTATTGTAGTGTCCAAGTTGTCTACTTGTGATTACTCATCAAATGGCTGTCTTTCAAGGCCGACTGTGTACCCTGCTGCTGTTCCCTCCCATGTATGTTCCAAGCAATTATGCTGGCCTTTTCACATCAGGCCGGAAGGCTACCCCTTCCTAATGTATACTCTGTCCCTGTCTAGGGTTATAGCTTAGGAGTGGAAGGGTTGCTTTCCAGCTGGTTGGAGAGCACAAATGATCAAATGATCAAAAAGGCCTTTTAGTTTTTATCAAAACACTGACTGATGCTGGGCAACTTACAGGAGAAGTCAAACAAAGTGGTCCCTCCTGAAGTGGTACCTTCATTGGTTCTAAGTTCTTTTGCACAAGATATCAGGAAGCAGTGTGGAAACAATCCCTTCTATGTAAACCTTTCCATTGTAAGGCAAGCCAGTGCACTGTGTAACATGCATAGGGAATGACAGAAGAGAGAAGCCCGTGGGCCAGCTCTCTCCATCCTCTCCCAGAGCAGGCGGTGACTGGGCTGGTCTGAGTGGCTGCGGAAGGCCTAAGGGCCAGGAGGCTCACCACAGGGCTGTGCACAGCCTGTTTTTGATCCATCCAAACCTAAAGTTTCCACTGAGCTCATGAGACTTCACCAAAGTTCACTTTTCTAAGCACACTTGATAACTGGGTCTCTCAGCCTGGTTACTGGACTCATTTAAGCGGAGAGTTCTGTCTCTGGGGTAAAACTTCTCATTGCCACTTAATTTTTTACCCAGTAAGTATGCATCTCTCTGGGGGTTCAGATTCTTTTTAAAATGTTGGAAAGCGCCTTCTAAATAGGACTGTGAGGTTGGTTTGTATCTTACACATTTAATAACCATTCCTTGGTTTAAGGCTGTGGCTTTAACCTTTATGTACTCCTTCAACCCACAATCATTCCAATTACATTGTAGCTACTATAGCTTTGAAGTAAATTGTCATCTTGTGGGCTCTTTCCATACTTATGTTGGTGTGTTTCATTTAAAATCCGATGAGCTGTGGGGATGTAGCTCAGTGGTAGAATGCTTGCTTACCATATATGAGGGCCTTGTTCAGTGCCCAGCATCACACATGCACACGCACACATAAACAAAATAAAATCCAACTAGCCACAGAGATTTTTTTGGAGGACTTTGTGTTAACTAGCCAGGGCTGAAAAGTGTGACAGGATTTAAAAAGACTTCCCTTGAAAATGCTGTATTGGCAAACATGTGAGCCAGCACTTTCATTCACAGAGTTACTGTCCATCAGTAACCCAGGAAGTGAAGACAGGAAGATTACAAGTCTGAGGCCAGCCTGGGCTACACAGTGAAACCCTGCCTTAAAAAAAAAAAAAAAAAAATATATATATATATATATATAAATATAAAAAAATTTTTTTGAACTTGTAGATTTGGTTGCTTTATTTACTAAATTGTTATTCTGAGGAATTAAGCCAGTTTAAATGAAATTTTACCCAGCCAGCATAATGGCTTTAAAAACTAACCAACAGTATACACAAGTACTACTTGAAACATTAAATTTTGAGTGAAATTTAAATTATGCTTTTGGAACCTGCCACGTCTTAATTTTTGCTGGATTTTGATTTTCAACTTTGGAAAGTTTTAGTCAAATAGAACCACCCGCAATTATGAGATCAGGTAGGAGACTAAGGATATAACTCATTCCTGTAAGGAACAGGAGGTGCTGCTATTTTTTGTCTTAGCGGTGGTCTGATGCCAACTGGATGGGGTTTAGCATCTATCCAGTACCTTAAAAATGTCTCCTCCTGGTTGCTACTTGGTTGCAACAGCTTCAAACCTAAGCCTTGTTGTCATGCATGTGACCGTTCATCTTAACAGTCAGTGAAGACATAAACCTAGCAGAGCATCTGTGGTCTCAGAACATAGACTCTAAAAGGTCCTGGTTTTTATAGTAAGCCAAACCCAAGGCTGAAGCTCATAATTTGTTATTCCTATCAGACAGGATCTATCTGATGAATATTCACATGAGAACCAGGGATGGTGGCACATGCCTGTAATCCCAGCACTCAGGAGGCTGAGACAGGAGGATCGCCTTGAGTTTGAGCCCAACCTGGACCCTACATAGTAAGTTCAAGGCCAGCCTGAACTTCACAGCAAGACCCTATCTCACCCCCCCTCCAAATCATGAGAATGATGCTTTTTAAAAAAAAAACACAAAAACATGTAACAAGAATCAGTCTCAAAGAGCTTTCACTCTTTTCCCTTGGTACTGGGAGTCAAATCCAGGGCCTCGTGCATGCAAAGCACACACTGTCACTGAACAACACCCCCAGCATCTCAGTCAACTTTCTTAATCAGATTTATGCCAGTAGGATGAAGACTGTTCTGTTTACCTATAATGAATAAATTGCCAGACAGCACTTGTCAGCTGTGACAAGCCACTGAGATCATTATACTGATCACCTTTCAGATTCATGTCCTTAATGCTACACCAGTTACACAGGAGATTTGGCCCATAAAAGCAGTATATTTAAAAATGCTAGTAAATTGATTAAAGAAAAATTATTGGAGAGAACCTTTTCTACTTCCACCTCTTTCTATGGCTACATGAGCTTTCCATGCCAGTTCTTTATTCCGTTTCTAAAGAGCCCCAAGCCCTTGTCCGGTGGCATGACCATAGATTTTAGGGTCAGAAAACATACTTCTTGCAAAGGAAGCAGCTTCCTTAGTGGTGTCACTTTAGTGTCCACCGCCGCGGCTTGCTTAGTTTGCCCCACCTACACATCACAGCCCTCTTACTGCCACCACACCTCATTCTTTTCCAGCAATGATGCCTCTCTGGTGCCTGGAAAACCCACCTGGTGCATGCACTAAAATGCTATGCAACACCAAATGGCTTCTCCCCTGTTACTGCTCAACAATGGACATCCCTCAAGAATAAGCTTCCCGTTGTGTTAGTGTCAGTGTAATGTGGGTGGTCTCAGTGTCTATTTCTTTTTTTCTTTTAAAATGAGGCAAACCACCTTCATTACAATCCATGTTTGGCGCTTGTTCCTGTCTCTTGAGTGTGAAATATAAATCATGTTTTTATGATTTTTGTAAATCTTGACTTTTTACACCTTGTTTTGTAAGCAGAAGTTTCTTATTAAAAGAATAAAATGCTGTCTTTGTGTAGAGTCTTTATTACAAATATTTGTTAAAGCATCATTAGTGCTCCTTAGGACATAGCAGTGATTGCCCCCTACAGACAAAGACTATGTACAGAACTTTACAGAACAGAGGCAACACTAGCAGAGGCTGGCTGCTAAGCAGAGAATGCAGTTCGGACAAGGAAGAGAAGAGGAAGGGCCCCTGGGAATCAACTTAAGCTGCCATCCAGAGCATATCTTGTGCTGGTCACAGACTGTAGGTTCTAGTTGTGGAAGGTTTGGGTACAGTGTAAGAATTTCACGTGTCTGTAATCAGATGACAACAGGTGGTGTTAGAAATGGCACAAAACTAAAAGATTTAAATCCCCGAACATCTAGAAACACGGGAAGAGCCAAGGATTGTTACACTGAGTCTCTTTCCTCCCTTTGGTGGAACAGTTGACATAAATCATTGCTTCTCTCGGCCCCGAGGACTCCTGAGAAGTGGTTAAGTGCTTACCTATTGGGCTACACCCCTGGCTGAGGTGCCATTAGATCAATGTCACTCAAGTTCCTGGCCAGCCAAACTCCTGCAGCGAAGAGTCCCAAATTGAGGATCAAGTTCCTGGGCACAGAAGGTATTTCATTAACCTCTTGGTCACCGAGTCACTTGTATGCTTAATGAAGAAACTGGCTTCCCATCACCACCTATCATCACCTCCGAGGCCACCATAAATGGGGGTTACAGTAGGGCACGTTACCTAATCCCCGCATGGGAATTTGGAGTTAACTTCTCCAACTAATAAGGGCAGAATCAAAAGCCATGGCCAACTAAGCATTAGTTCAGAGCTGAAAGGCCTGTTTGTGTTGGCGCTTCTTCCTCCCGGGTCTCCCTAGTCCAGGTGACATTCTATACAGATAAAGCCACATGATACACCGACTTTGCCACAGGGGAATTTTCCCGGGCAAGAACCTCAGCAAAGCACAGCAGGAGCCAGAAAGAGGCCACTCTGTTGGCACCACACACTCACGCATGCACCCAGGGACGCCAGCCTCGCCACGAGGGGGAATACAGGAAGGGTCCAGGCGAGGGCCAGCGGGACGAAACTCCTGGGCTCGGTTACCTCCGGAAGTCATTCCTATCGGTGGCAAAGCGGTAGACGCCTCGGAGCCAATCTCCCACGTTGTCCGGAATTTCGGGGTTTTCGTTTGCCGAGCCCGCAACGCCCACCGAGACCCCACTGGAAGCCATAGCAGCACCTCGGAGCTCCGCAGCGGTTTCACTCGATGCCCGCAGCGGCGCGCCCCAACGACGCACTTCCGGTGCAGCACTTCCGCCGCCGGCAGGGGGCGCCGCGGCTCGGTCGGCGGTCCGCGATCCGGGGAGAAGGCCAATTCCAGTTGCGCGCCCAAGAGGTCCGGCGGCGCGCGGCCCGGCTTTCCCATCCCCTGCCGCTAGTCCCACCTCTGGGGTCCCCCGTCACCCACGCCGAGGAATCATTTCATTGGCTCCGAAGCAGGGAGCCTGTGGGGGTGGGGGGACCCACAGGGAAGCGCAGCTTGGGGGAACGAGGCTCCTCGAAAAGTCTCCATCAAAAGTCACAGGACGCGAGACGCTGACGTTTGCCACCTCGCTGCCTCCCCCAGGGTGCCCCGACTGCGTTTAGTCTCGATCGCCCCTCTGCCCGCCACCTGCCCCCCGCACCCTCGGGTCGCGCCGCTAACAGACGGAGCAGCGTTTACCCGAGGCGTCTCCGTCCCCCGGGATCTTCCGGGGCCCGGGAAGGCGCCGGCCTAGGAAGAAGCCCTCGGGTTCTGACTCGGAGGACGAGGAGCAGGTGGGGCAGGGGGCGCTCTCCTCGGGTTCCTGGGTTGCGTCCGGGCCGCCTCGACCTCTCGGGGTGTCCGGGCTGCTGCGGGGGACTTGAGCCACGTCGCTCTCCGGGGCGCGGGCGCTTCCTCTGCTGCGGTCGGATCCGGCTGCCCCTGTTCCGGGCGTGGGGCAGAAGCGCGGGTCTCAGTCCCCGGGCCCCGTGCGCGCCCTCGCCCCGCGCGCGCCTCCTTGCGCCCCGGAGCTGAGTCCCCGCCTCCCGAGAGCGAGTCTGGAGTCACCGCCCAACCGCAGCGCTGAGTAGGCTCGGGAGGCCGTCGGAGCGCGGCAGCCAGGGACGCGCGGTGAGAGCTGAGGGCCCCCGAGGTGCGGGGGTGGAGTTGGAGGGGAGGTCGGGCCGCTGCTAGAGGGATGGGCTGGCGGGGGACGGGGATGGGAGCCGTAACCCATAAACCTGTCGCCGCCTCTTCCGCTGTGACCGGCACCTTCTGCTCCCTTACCCGGGAGCGCCTGCCCCTCTGGTGCCCCTGCCGTGTCTGGGTAGCGGCTCTCGAAGCAGCTGGGGCAGCAGGGGCTGCCCCCCGGCAAGGTATAGCTCCCCCCAGCCAGGGGCCCGGCGCAGTCCAGGCAGCAGAAGTGGTTCTCGTGCCAGCGGCGTCCCTCTGCCTCGGTGCAGCGCCGGGAGAAGATCAGCTGGGAGAGGACGGGAAGTGTTTCGGTTCATTCATTCATTCCCTCATTCATCCATCTGATAACCACGCCTCACAGCCAGTTCACACTGAAGCGAGTCCAAGACGTTCCCCGTTTGACCACCGTCACTCTCGGAGCCAGGAAGTGCTGACTGGCTTAGCCAGGTTCCCCGGACTAGCAGGTGGCACAGGCAGAAGTTGGATCTCTGCTCCTGAATCCCAGCCCCCTACCGCTCATGCTAACCTTAAAGGAACTTTCCAGCATGCTTAGGCACTGCACTGAGCTTCAGGCATACTGAGGTGAACATCCGTCCAGGAACCCAGCTCCAGACCAAAGAAATGTGAGGGTTTTGCTTGCGGTGGGGGAGGGCAGAGATAAAAGCAGCAAGTCCCACACCCAGTGCTCAAGTCCCAACATAGGGAAGAGGATGGTCCCAGCCAGTTCCTAGTACTCCCTTACCCACTTATTGGGAGAAACTAGCTCAGGAGGGAGTCACCTGCCACAGTGGGCCCTGGGTAGAACCCCCTTACCCCAGCCCTCAGGGCTCTACCTGATCACACGCAGGGCAACGTGGCCTCAGCAACTCAGCATGATGACGGCCACAGTAGAGACGCCCATCGTGGTAGAAGTAGATGAGGTGCATCAGGACCTGGCCGCAGGCCTGACAGGCAAAGCAAGGCCAGTGCCAGCAGCGCTGCTCACCCTCAGGCGCTGCGAACACTCCAACTTCTCCTGGCTTCAGCTGCTGCCTGCACTGTCGGGCAGGGTTCGAGTTGGGCTGAGTCCTGACCACCCTAGTTCTTCCCTCACAACCCCACTACCTGTTCTCTTGTACCCCAGAGGCCTAATCCCACTGCAGCCTCCACCACGACTCCCAAACTTGGTCCCCCTTTGTCCCTGACATTTGGCAAATCTGTGGAGCTCCAGGAGCTGCCCCTTTGGCAGAAGTGAGAGGACAAGGCGCGGGCGAAAGGGCAGGCTTGGAGTACAGGGGACTACACACCTTCTCACAGGTGTGTCCTTCAAGCTCAGGAGGTACCAGGTGGGCCACCCCCTGTCCCAGGGCCTTCTGCTTCCGCTGGGCACAGAAGAGCCGCAGTTCGGCCAGCTCCTCTTCCCCAAGGGCCAGGCAGTAGCGCTCCTGCAGAAAGAGGCCTCCACTATGGTGGGGACAGCCCCACAGGCAAGGTGAAGGGTTGGCTGAGAATCCTGAAAGGCTTAGCTGCTGGGTGGAGAGGTGGTGGAAGCTTAGGAGAAAACAGCATAGACACAGAGGAGAGGGGTGCAGGAAAGCCTGCCTCAGTCTCCCCCACTGCCCCCAGGAGCCCTGAGAGCCCACAGCACTGACCCCATCACCCTCTGCCTAGGTATTTTCTCCACTGTTCTCTCATGCTCCCATCTTCCTCCCCAGTTGAACTGTACGCCTTTAGGGTGGGACACACAGGGCGTCAATAAATACGAAGCAACCATGCTCTACATTTGTCCATTCCATTATTGATTTCAGATCTCCATGTCCATTTCTCACTTGCTAGTGAAGCAAGCTTTGGTAGGCAGAGCAGATGCTACTGCGCCCATCGTGTCCATGTGAGAACTGGGGCTGGAGGGGTGACTTCCCCCAGCTAGCGGCAGAGCTAGGCCTTAAATTCATGTCACCTGACTGGGACCAAGGGCCTTCCCATTGTAAGTAAAGAGGGACAGAGGGAAACTAGTCAGGGAGGCGCACATCGCTGTCCTGAGGAGGGAGCTGCTGCAGGAGCGTCCAAACCCCAGGCCAGTTTGGGGGGAGGCTGGTGTCCCAGCGTGGTGGGTCCATGCTTGGAGCTGCAGGATTCTGAAGAGAGATGGTGGAAGGGGAAGAGGAGCCATGGTTTCCTTTCTCTTCCCCTTTCCTCCCTCATTGCCACCCTCTCCTCCAATCTAGAGCAACTTCTTAGCCCCTCTGCTTGGAGGTAGATACTGTATTCCTTCCAGCTCAAGGACAGCAGGTGGACTTCTGCATCTGGTGTGCCTGGAAGGAACCCCCAAATCTTCCTTCTTATATGTGAAGCTGCCCCCCTCCTCTCCTGGAGCCAAAGCCCCTCCGTGTGCTTTAACAACAAAGACCCCTTAGGAGAGGTAAAGTGGATTCATATGAATTGAGTTTAGAGCCAAACCCCCATGTCCTGAGGAGGTTGTGGGGTCAGGAAGTCCTGAAAAGGGCCACGAGAACTTGGGTACAAGGCAAACTACTTCCCAGATGGGAAAGGGAGGCAGGCTAGAAGGCACAGTGGTCTCAGGGAGGGCAGGACGCTCACTACCCCAGCGGAGGTGTCCTTGGGGCCCTCCTCTGGCAGCTGGCCTGAGTCACCATCTGAGTGGACTGCTGGACCTGGCTCCCTGGAGATAGGACTGTCCTCTGGGTTGGGCCAGCCAGCGTTCAGCACCAACACTGGGGGCCAATTCTGCCCCAGAACAGTAAGAACACCTCCATTCACTGGGCCTCACAGTGCGCTAGGAACTGCTAAGTGCTTTATGGTGTTATCTCAGTCCTGCCCACAGCCAGGGAATGTAGGGCGGGCATTGTCCCCATTGTACAGATGGCCAAACTGAGGGTCCATGAGCACAAATGGCAAACCCAAGGTCAAACAGTAAGTGACAGAGCCAGATGTCAAGGCTGGCCCTCTCAGCTCCAGTTCCTGAAGTTCAAAGTGTGGGTCTCCCATGATTGGGCTGGAGGGAGAGGCGGCAAGGGCATTTTGCTTTTCTGGTGAGACTTTGGGGAGGCTGCCTTTCCTCCTTACCTCATGAGCCTTCATCCCAGAAGCCACCATTCCTCTCTACTCCTCCACCCAGCAAGGCTGTTTCTCACCCCTCCCTCTGTAGCAGACCAAGCCTTCCAGCTCTGCACATTTGGGGCTGGCTAAGGAGCCCCTCAACCCATGAGCCTTCGCAGCCTGCCTGACCCACAAGATTTCATAACTGCTCTTTCTCTTTGCTCTCCACATCTCTCTCAGCTCCTCTTGTATTCCACAAACTCCCCCAGGACAGAAAGGTTCTGGCTTCTATCTAGAGAAGCATTTTTCCTCCTTTTCTGGGTTGGGAATTAACCCCAGGACCTTGCACATGTTAGGCAAGTGTTACTGTGAGCTATGTCCTCAGTCCCTATGGTGCAATTTCATAGGATAATCTTGGTTCCTGTCTTTGGCCTTCCTCCCTGCCAAGTCCTGATGCAATTACAGTATCCTGGCAGTGGCAAGTGACTACCAGAGTTGAGAAGAGATGGGCTCTGCACTCAAGGAGGTCACAGGCTAGTGGAAGACAGAAGAAACCAGACAGGACAGAGCCAAGCTCTATGAAGATACACACTTGGGGGAAAACAAATCTCAGCAAACTTCTGTTTACTTTGTGCCAGAGACTATTCTAGAATCTTACATAATATGGTCCATTCTGAGACTAATCCCATGAAATAGTTCCATCATCCCATTTTGTCATTGAACTTGATTAAGTAACACCCAAGATCACACCAAAAGGCTCGGGTGGCTTTAGGAGGAGGCCTCAGAGTTGACAGCAGCTGGCACAGGAGGGCCATCACCAAACCTCTGGCCCTGCTCTGGGGTGGACCCAGGTTCGGCCCCTGACAGTCATGGTGCTTCCCAGCCCTGCACCCTCATCACCCTCCCTTCCTGCGCCACCCCTCCTCCTTCCTGGCCCACACCCACCTGCTTCCTTCCCGTTCTGTCCCCCAGCTCAGGTTTCCTGTGGAAGGTGGCCAGGATGGGGTGTTCACCCTCAGGGCCAGGAGCAGCCACTTCCTCTGACATCTCGGTCCCTGCTCCAGGCAGCAAGGAAGGAGAGGTGACTTGGAGCCCCTGAAGGGGACTGCCACCCTCTCCCTGGTTAACTGTAGTTTGTCTGACACAGGAAGAGGTCGGGGATGAGCCCTCTAGCCTTCCAGCGCCCCCTGTTAACTCTACCTTCATCTTTCTAACCTGCCCCATCGACCGCTGCCCCACTCCGTCCTCCCTCTCAGACGGGGACCCGGCTGAACCCTCTTCCCCCAAGCTCAAGGGCACATCCCCAACCCCTGTGGCCCGGAGGAGACCCGGTGCCCACGTCTTCCCGGACTGCGTGGGGCGCACCTGGCGGCCAGGACGCGACGTGGTCTCGGATCCTCCAGGCTCCATCCTGCTGCGGGTCCAGGGGAGGGGACGGGGACTCCGCTGTGTCCCCCCAGTCCTGCGTTCTGTCCATGGGGTTTGGGACAGACCCGCCCCAGGGGCTTGGTCCTTCGTTCCCCAGGCCCGGCTAGGGAACGGGCTGCAGAAGGCGCTTGGGGAGGCCCTCCCCGGGTCCCCTTCTCTCAGCCCACCCCTGGGACTTTGGTCCTGCTCTCTCCTCTCAGTCCCCTGACCCCCTCTTCTAACCTTCGAGCTTCCCTTCTGCTCCCGGAGTGCCCACACCTCGTTCCCTCGGCCCCGCCCCCGTAAGCCCCCCCCAAGAGGGTCCCGCCCCCCGCCCAACCCCGCCCACTCCCGTCAGGATTCCCAGCCGCTGGCCCGGAGCGCCCTCTGGCGTCTGCGCATGCTCCCCGTTCCCGCCTGCAAAGTCCTCCAAGGGGACCTTCTAGGCAGCGCGCCGGCTGCCCCCTCTCGGGTCTGCCGGCCCGCAGCATCTCGTTGGTGCTGCCGGTGACCTCCGACCCCACGGCCGCGGGGCGGGGCGGGGAGGACTCGGCTTCGGGCGGGCGGTGGTTGCTGCAGCGGGACCCGGGAGTGGGACCCGGAGCGGGCCCCCCGGCGCCGCCCGGGCCTCGGGGCGATGTGAGTCGGGGCGTGGCGGGGCGGGGACGAGGCGGCTCCACCGAGACCGCGTCGCGCCACGCCGCAGTCTCCGCTCTCTCCTTAGGAAGCCGAGGGCTGGAGGGGGGCGGTGGAGCCCGGGGGGCTGGGGGCGGGGATCCAGGCTGGACGAGCGGCCCTGACCTCCGAGTTCCCTGCAGGCATCCGGAAATCCCCCCTGATAAGACACGAACTGTGCTGTCCTCTCCGCCCAAACCCCACCCTCCCCCACCTCGAGCCCCCGCACCCCCCAGTCCGCACACCCGGAACGCCCACACACCATTCTCTAGGGGACCTCCTAGTGCTCCCACCGCCCTGGAATTCCTCGGGTCCTTCCCACCCCCCACCCCGTTGCCTTTGCACCATGACTAAATCCAAAATTCTTTCCTTTCCGCAAGCCATCATACACGTTTTCAGTCCCTCTGGAGGGTCTGTACCTCCTGTCCCCAAACCATACCTACCCCAGATCAGTGCCTCCTCCCAGCCTCCTCGATGGGTTATCTGATGATGTGTCCCCATATCTTTTAGAAAAACCGACGGAGATAGGACCAGTAACCCCTCCCCGAGCCTGGGCCCTGTAGTTCTTAGCTTTGCATCTCACTCCCTGCAGGAAGCTTCAGCCCCAGTGCTTTCCCAGGCACCAGTGCACACTTCCTTCAGCCTGCTCCTCCTCCCAAAGAACAAGCCAGACCGAGAGGGTGGGGGTCCTTTTACTTGAGAGTTGTGTAAGGATGCAGAGGATTGGGGTTTCTGGGGAATATTTTTCCAGAGCAAGAGGTGGAATTTTTTAAGGGTCTTCAGAGCCCGTTGTGTTGACTTGCCCTCAAATGTTGGCTTATTGTTAATGTTTATGTTAAAATTGGGCCTCTCCGAGCTTGAGTAACAGTTTGTCCGGCTTTCAGATGCGAGTTTGAAAGAGCCAGTCCTGGAAGAGGAAACTGTCTTTTTTCGTGTGCCGTTGGTCTTACATACCTGACTTTAGAAGTTACTTCAGCTAGAAGCCCTCACAGCTTACAGATGTTTCCTCTAAAAACTAAGGCCTTGGGGTGGGAATCGGGAGTGGTGGGAGGGATTGACTTGCTAGAGTCTCCCAGATACTAAAGAGCAACAGCATGGAGTAGAATATTGGTGTCCTGAATTGTCAGCCAGTTCTTCTAGTCCATTCCAGTGTCGTTGTTCAAAAAATTTTTTTCTAATTAAAATTGGGGACAGTGGTACCTTTATTGGCCAGGTGCCTACTTGGAGATAAAGTGCAAAGAATGAGTGGCCCCGATGCCAGACCAGCCATGCTTCAACAGCTTGTGGGTAATGGAGAACTCGCCCAGGTAGTGGCTTGATCTCTGCCTAGCTGAAGGTCTTTCCATTGTAGACGCCCACCTTGCTGCCTACCATCAGGGGCAGGATGATCACATCCCGAAGGTGTGTGTCTTCACTACCACTGGCTTCTTTCTCCCTGGGCGGTGCCCCCTTCTTGGCCTTGCACAGGGGCTTCAGCCTCAGGCCACAGTTTGTCCCGCCACTGCACACTGTAGTGCTGTATCAGCTCTTTGTAGGACTCGTCCAGCTGCTGGTCCAGGTCCACACCACGGTAGGCAAACTTGTGGAAAGTTCGCTGTTTCTGCTCTGCTTCCGCCATCTTGTCAGCTCTTAGGAAAAGTCCAGTGTCCTTTTGAGAAAGCTCCTTGTAGAGTTAAAATTCTCTGCAAAGGTAGGGTGGTGTTTTGGGTGTTGGTTCTAACAGGATTCAGACAGGATCTAAAAATGACTTGGTAGATCTTGGGCTTTTGTAGACGTCAAACTCATTGATGCTGGGGATTCCCCCCTCCCTCCCCGGAGCCCTGTGACGCTTGGAATTGGTGGTCCCTTTGCCCAGGGTCTTGCTTTCTTCCGTGGTGAACCAGGAACAGATGATTAGGGGGATGGACTGCCAGCAGGTCAGTTTCACTAACAGTTGGGGTGTGGTTAGAAGGTTTCCATTAATCTGTGGTCTGTTTCCTGTGCTAGGTGAGCCCCAGGTGTGTCCCAGAGGGAACTGGGTGACTTCTCTGGAGACTGTTTGCCATGACACCCCATCAAGGACCAGGGGAATAAAGGGGGCGCCCTTCCCCATGCCCCTCCCCTGGTCAGGTCCCCGATGGCCTGGGTGAGGTAAGAACTGCACGTTGGTGTCAGTTTTCTGAAGTTTCTCAAGTTGAAAGGAATGGAGGGTGGGAGTAGCTGGATTGCCCAAGGCTTTCCACATTCAGCAGAAATGTTAGAGAGATAGCTAATCCCACTGACTCATTTTGCAGCAAGTTAATCCCTTAAAACTTTTGATTAGAACTGATCAATGTGTTTCTCTTTTTTCTTGTTTTTTTTGAGGGGGAGGGGGGTAAGAGGGGATGACAGGGTCTTCCTATGCAGCCCAGGCCAGCCTCATACTTGCAATCCTCCTGCCTCAGCCTCCTGAGTGCTGAGATGACAGGCACACACCACAACACTGGCCTATGTCTGTGTGTTTCTTGTTCCTTTTGACTGCTGAAGCCTGGATAGTATCCTCTGTCCTGGGCACGGGCCTGACTGTTTTGACATAATCCAAGTGCCACAGTCCTGGAAGGAAGAGTGAAATAGTCCTGTAGTCTCCCCTTTGGTTAGTGGGAAGCAAAGCCAGCATTTTGCTTTTGTTTTGAGACAAGATCTCACCATGTAGTCCACACTGGGCTGGAACTCTCCTGCCTCAGCCTCCTAAGTGCTTGGAGTACAGGCTTGTGTCACCACCCCCAACACATTCAGCTTGTTTTTGTTTTGTGGTGCTGGAGGTCAAACCTAGGGCCTTGTGTATACAAGGTACATACATATTCCTGAGCTGTACCTCAGTCCCCAGCTTTTTTTTTTTAACAAAGAAATACCCAATCATGCTTAGACAATTGTGCCATTTTAAGTGTTTAGTCTTTTGAATATGTCTGTGATCATAATATAACAATTCAGTTGAAGAAAACATCAGAAAGATAAATTTCAGGTGGATATTGGGATGATGGTAAAGGAGGAAAAGAGAAAGCTGGGACAAAGGGGAAGTGGGTAATGTATGAAAGAGGGGGTCAGGGGGAGGGTGCGGTCCAGAGTATCTGGGACTCGCAGGTGACACTGTCTTCACTGAATCCTAGGGAGGGCTTGGTCACTTCTGGGCCCCTCTTCCTCCGTCCCATTCTGTGGGTCAGAATCCTGCTTACTTTCCAAGGTCCAGATTGGGGCTTCCAGGAAGACCTCTCCATCCCCCTTCCATAAATGCTTAGCACTGTCCAGCTTGAATTAATGTTTAGCCAAAGTGTCTGTCCTGGATTGAGGGTGCATTTCTTGGCACATCGGAGTCTTCCAGTCTGCTGGACAGTCGGCTGTCACAGGGAGGTGGTTCTGCACTAGTTCCCTGGAGCAGGACCCCTTGGAGCCACACTGGTGACCTGCCTGTCCCATTTCCCCTAGGGCGGGCCGGCTGCTCTGACACCATGGGGAGCTGCTGTGGCTGCCTGAGCAGAGACAGCGTCCCAGACAACCACCCCACCAAGTTCAAGGTACCCGGAGCCTCCTCCCTGGTCTTCTCAGTAGCTTTCTGGGCGCAGCCCTGAGCCCTCAAGTGCCACAGCTTCTGTGGGGAAAGTGGCAGGATGGGCTGAGGTCGGGGTGTAGGAAGGGCAAAGAAAGGCCCAAGCCACTGCCACTTTTTGCTTCTCTTGTTGGCACCAAAAATAAATGCTGTACTGCAGGAGCAGAAAGGTGCTTTTAGAATGTTCATTGCTGCCTGTGTATTTGTCACTATGTATACACCTTTTTCAGGGAAAAAGAACAAAAGTCTGTATTTGTGAGTTAAAATACACTAGGTATTTTCAGTAGTGCGTGGTGCCTGGGAAGCCTTTTGGGGGGTTTGCCGTGGGAAGTTGAAGCTGGGCCTGCCCTCTAGGGGGCGCCACCTCCCCGCTCTGGGCGTCTTGAGGCGCAGTTGTTCTGCCCACCAGAAGAGGGGGCCCTCAGAAGCTCACCCTTGTGGGAGGTGGCAGCAGTATGTACTGGTTCTGCCTTAGGCTGATTTTCCCCAGGATTTACAATTTGGACTTATTTTGGAGTGGGGAGGAAAGGGGACTGGGGATTGAACCCAAGGCCTTTGCACTGAGCCATATTCCCAGCCCTTTTTGATTTTTTAAAATTTTTGAAACAGGGTGTTGCTAAATCAGTAAGTTAACCAGGCTCCTCCTTCAGCCTCTCAGAGTGCTGGGATTACAGGCATGTACCACCATGCCCAGCTCATTTTTTAAAGTTTTGAGACAGGGTCTTACTAAATCACTAAGTTACCAGGGCTGGGCTGGAACTTGCCATCATCCTCCCTCAGCCTCCCAGAGTGCTGGGATTATAGTCTTGCACCAGCAGGCCCAGTAGGATTTTGAATTTACAGTTGATCCTCTTCCTCATTAAAATCTGATCCTTGGATACTAAGCTATGGGGTGGCTCAGGTCACTCAACATTGGTCATCTCATCGCCGGGCCTTGGAGGACAACTACCTACTTCTTCCCTCTGTGTCCAGATGATGAAACCGAGGCCCAAAAGGTGGATTTGCCCTGAGAACTCGGGTGGGTCTGGCTCTGCTCTGCACATCCATGCTCCAGTGGCAGGGTTCGTGGTGTCTGGGGTGGGCACATGAGAGCGTCAGCCTCCTGCCTAATCCTGGGTAGACTTGCCTTCTGGGGACTCGGGACTCACCTGTGAGCCCTGTCCCTGCAGGTGACGAACGTGGATGACGAGGGGGTGGAGCTGGGCGTGGGGGTGATGGAGCTGACCCAGAGCGAGCTGGTGCTGCACCTGCAGCGGCGCGAGGCTGTGTGCTGGCCCTACCTCTGCCTGCGGCGCTACGGCTACGACTCCAACCTCTTCTCCTTTGAGAGCGGCCGTCGTTGCCAGACTGGCCAGGGTGAGTGCGTGGGGCACCCGGCTGGCCTGGGCTGGGGGGCTAGGAAGTTTGTTGTGGCATCCACACCGGGCTCCACGCCCAGTCCTGGAGCAGGCAGGCATGCCCCAAGGCAGGGCAGGGTTTGGCCCGGGTCACACGACCTGTCAGTGCAGGACTCTGGGGTCTCCTGGCCAGGAGTCTGTCCCTTCACTCAGGGCGGCTCCGGCCTGGGTCTCTGTGTTGCACAGCCCGACAGGACCAAGTTGCTGCTTCTAGGCCAGGCCTTGCTGCAACAGCAGATGACTCTTGCCTGCTGGCTCAGCCCCAGAGGTCCTTGTTGCCCCCCAGTGGGGACATGCTTTTCTGAGCTTCCATGTCACGTGCCCTGTGCCTGTGAAGGAGAGAGACAGGGCAGGTGGGGGACACCGGCTCCATGGGGTCAGATGGGGGAGGCAGGACACCAGGTCCCCGTGGGGAGGTTAACCCCAGGGGTTTACCTCCACCCATCACCTCGGTAGTGTAGTTGGATGCAGTCCCCTCCTCTCTCCTTGTGGCCAGAGATGGGGTGGGGGCTGTTCCATGGCTCTGGCCTTGCCTGCAGAGGGTGTCCTTCCTGGGAGGGCACTGACTGTGGGTAGGGACTGTCACTGCAGAACAGTCCCGGGGTCACGTTGCCCCCTCCATGTGCCTGGGCCTGGGGCTTGTGAGAAGAGGCGGATGGTAACACTGACTGAATAGAGGGAAGGAGAGGCCACCTTACCCCTAGGGAAGCTGCATCTGCACCTGGCACCCCAGGTCCTAGCACAGGCTCCTTCTAAAACTCAGGCTGCCTGTGTCTGCTAGGTCTGCCCATCCCTTGAGAACAGCGCTTCTGCTTCCAGTCTGTCCTTCCCATCTTGTTCCTGTAAACCACAGAGTACCGAATGGAACAGTGTTGGTTAATAATGTAATTGTTGCCCGATCTCCAGCCTAACTGCATTGTCTCGGTTGTAGGTCTGTGCATACACACTCTCCAGGTGCCTCCCCCGTGTCCCTTGTCCCAGCATGGCAGAATTGCAGGTGGCCTAATGCCAGGCACATCTTAGGGTCCTGAGTCTGGTGTGCTCCAGCCCAGGCCTGCAGCCCCCTGGGCACTGAGTGGCCGAGTTGGAGATGGAAGGGCTGCGAAGCTGGCTGTACCCAGGCCTGCAGCTGCCCTGCCAGATCAGCCCTCAGCTGTAGCCGTCCTGCCTCCTTCCTGCCCCAGAGTTTGCGCTCCCTGAGGCAGGGACCTGTACACTTCACTTCGCAGCCAGGCACTGGGCTATGTATCCAGGGGCAGCTGTGAGCAGCACAGATACTCCTGCTGTGGCTGCACTGCCGGGCAGATGTGTTGGGCCAAGGGCTGAGGACTGGCAGGGCTTGTTTTTCTAGGGTGCAGGGGTGGCCAGCAGGGGAAGACGGGGACGGCCTGTGTAGTGACACGTTCACTCATCTCACACCCCCGGTGCCCACGGCGTGTCTCAAACACACATGCACGTGGGATGCAGCTGTAGGGCTGTCTTGGGACCCGGACCATAGATGTGGTGGGTTGGGCTAGGGGGCAGCTCAGGGCCAGAACCCTTGCCTACCATATGCAAGGCCTTGGGTTCCTCCCCAGCACCCCAAAAATGCCAGAGAGTGGCTGTGGGGTCCCAGCCACTTGGGTAGCTCAGGGATTCTGGAGCCTCCCTGGGGGACGTGCAGGGTGAGAAGGGCACTGCCCCCTGGAGGCTGGAGCTGCAGCTCGGCGACATCTCCAGCACCTGTGCACCTCTCCAGTTCCTAGGCTGTCTGCACAGGCCTGGCGTCCAGGCCACCCATCTCTTCCTCTCCCTCTCCAGGGATCTTTGCATTCAAGTGCTCCAGGGCCGAGGAAATCTTCAGCCTTCTTCAGGATCTGATGCAGTGCAATAGCATCAATGTGACGGAAGAGCCAGTCATCGTCACCCGCAGTAGCCACCCTGCCGAGCTCAACCTCCCAAGGACTCCCCAGCAGCCCAGTGGTGAGCCCCCACCCTGGGTACCCTGCGAGGGCACAAGCGCAGACCCTGGAGGTGCAGTCGAGTAGGATGGGGAGGATGCTGGGAGCCAGCCTTCTGGGACAGTCATTCAGGACAGTCACCCATCATCAGAGCTGCCCCTGAGGGTGGCAGGGCCCTGCGCAGGGCCAGTCAGATGACTTGGCTGAGGCTGTGGCATCCTGGGCCTTAGAGAGACTCTTGGTCAGGAGCAGACTGGAAGATGTTGGGTTTCCATGGAAACGGCAGTCTGGTGCTTCCTGCTTCCTTCCTTCCGTGTGCCGGGTCACACACACACCTCCCCTGGAGCTGATTCTGGCATCTCTGGCTGAGGCTCTGCCATAGGAGAGCCACAGCTGCAGGCCAAAGGCTGCCACCGCTCCCTGCTCGCTGGCCCAGCCCGTCAGGGACAGAGGGTAGAAACACAGGGCTTGCTTTTGAGGAGCTTCCCTGGGACTCACCAGAAGTGCAGGGTGACCAGAGTGCCGTGGTGGCTCAGGGAAGGGCTCCTAGAGGAAGTGGGGCAGTGGCTCAGGCTGAGCTCAGAGCGGAGGGGCAGTGGGAGGCTGTCAGTGGCCAGGGGCCCAGCACTGAGTGTCCCCTCCTGCGGGAGGAGTCCCAGGACCCACTCCCAGGAGGTTGCCAGTGACTCAGGTGCTTTTAACCCCTCTCACCTGGCCTGTCCCCGGCCCAGCTCTAGGCTACACTGTCTCCAGCTTCTCCAATGGCTTCCCTGTCTGCCCTGGAGAGGGCCAGAGATTCTCCACTCCCCGGCGGCCGTCCTCCAGCAGCCTGCGACACCCCTCGCTCAGGGAGGAGTCCACACACGCCCTCATTGCCCCTGATGAGCAGGTGAGCAGCAGCCTGCCATGCCAGTGTCTGGGTGGGGATGGGGTTTGGAACACAGCTACCTCCTACCAGGAAGGAGCAAGGGAAGGGGAAGAAAGGGAAGGCCGTGTCCCAGGAAGGTTTGGAGGCCACAGGAGGAGGGGAGACTGGCTCTTTTCCCTGAGCCTCTGTCCTCCTGCTGTCCCTCCTGCCCTTCCTTCCTCTGGGCCCTGCCACACGTGGACCGTCCCGCAGTCGCACACCTACGTCAACACTCCGGCCGGGGAGGATGAGCCCCGCAGGAGCCGGCACTGCCTGCAGCCACTGCCTGAGGGCCGGGTGCCCCTCCCCGCACAGGCCCGGGAGCCTGGCCCTCGGGACCCGCAGGTCTTCCTGCAGCCTGGCCAGGTGAAGTTTGTGCTGGGACCCACACCTGCCCGGCGGCACCTGCTCAAGTGCCAAAGCCTCTGTCCCAGCCTGCAGGACATGCCCCCCCCCCACAACAACAATGAGGATCCCTCTGAGTGCCCCTCGCAGCCCAAGTGCACCTATGAGAACGTGGGCGGGGGCCTGCGGTGCGGCCCTGGCTGGAGACTGAGCCCCGAGGAGCCGGGCTGGGGCAGCCTGGCCCACCGCCGTGCCGCGCTGCTGCACTATGAGAACCTGCCCCCGCTGCCCCCCGTGTGGGAGAGCCACAGCCAGCCGCAGCCCGGGGAGCCCGGGGATGACGGCGACTCTCGGGATGGCCTCACGCCCTCCTCCAACGGCTTCGGCGATGGCGAGGAGGACGAGACCCCGCTGCAGAAGCCCACCAGCTCCCGGGCCGCTGCCCGAAGCCGTGGTGGCTTCCCCGTGCCACTGACCCGCCGCCGTGGCTCCCCAAGGGTCTTTAGCTTCGACTTCCGACGCCCAGGCCCCGAGCCCCCGAGGCAGCTCAATTACATCCAGGTGGAGCTCAAGGGCTGGGGTGGGGAGCAGCCCAAGGACCCCTCAACGCCCCGGGCCACCGCACCCAGCTCAGACTCCTACGCCGTGATCGACCTTAAGAAGACTGCGGCCATGTCCAGCCTGCAGCGGGCGCTGCCCCGAGATGACGGCACTGCCCGGAAGACCCGGCACAACAGCACCGACCTGCCTCTCTAGGTGCCCCCTCGCCGGACGTCCTCTGCCCCTCTGCCCCGTCCCACCGCCGGGGCTGCTCAGGACTGGATGCTTCCCTGCACTGCTGGGATCCCTGCCATTGTCACCCCTGAGGCTCCTGGTCCCCAAGCTGGGAAGGGGAGAGTGTGGCCGGGTGAGGAGGGAGCGCAACGCCAACTGTGAAGGGTCCTTGTGATTGCATTTCCCGCTGTCCCCTTCCGTCCATTCGTCTCGTCGGCCGTCTGTCCATCTGTCCATTTGTGTGTGTTTTTTTTGGTTGGATTTTTGAAACATTTTGTACCTGTTGATTTTATTTATCAGTTTATTTTTCTATTTATTGTTTTAAATGTAATTTAACATATTTATTATTAATATAATTATTTTTAAATTCTGGCCCAGTGGGTGGAGTCATCTTGTGGAGTCTTCTCTGGCATAGAGGAAGCCTGGGAGGGGACTGGAGTCTGGGTGGCTGTGGCTTTTGTGACAAGTCTGAGGTTATGTCTTCCTCTCCTCCAAGAAGCCCTGATCCAGAACATAACTTGTTGAAGTAAAGCTGCAGTCCCAGGTGCAGAGAGAGGACGTGGGGGGAAGGGTGTCCCCAGGACAAGGCTGACCCTGTGAGGCTCAGTGGCTGGGGGCCACCAGTTTGCCCTGTCTGGAGCCCTTGCCCACTCTCCTGCCTGGCGAGTGGCAGGGGCCACTACTGTCCTCTGGCTCACAGGTGACCATGGGGTGTCCTTAACCAGCCTAGCATGGCTGCATCCTGGCCAGGCCATTAAACAGGACTCAGGGGAACACAGTGTAACGTGTCCCCCATGTTTGCACAGTGGAGCTTTTTCCCTCCGGGTCTGACAGCGCCCAGTGCCCTGCACCCTGCCCAGTGCCCTTCCCTGCAGCAGCTGCTTCTCTCTCCTCAGCTGCTCTCTGCTTCCTCCGCTCCAGTCCCCCGGCCTCCGAGATGCCATGGCCATCGAAGGTTAATCTAGGAGGATTCAGTATCTAACAGGAGTGAGGCCAGGTTTTGTCCTCGACTTGAGGACAGGCCTTGTCTCTGGCCCCTGTTTGTGCCCAGCTCCTGCTCTGTGTCCTGTTCCTCCCCTAGGCAGCACCCAGGGCGGAGCCAGCGCTGGGTGTCAATTTCCAGACACCCCTGCCCGTGTGTGGGTGGCACTCTCCATGTTGTTGGGGAAGATTGGTCACGGCAGGACTGAGAGGCCTCGCTGTGGGGCCCAGCAAGGTGCAAGGGGGAAGCAGCCGCCACCCTGGAGCTGGCACCAGGCCCTTCTCCCCTTGCTGTCCTTTGTTCCCTGAGCTGGCGGATCCCTCACTGCAGGAACTCAGTGCCTGTCCTATGTCCTGGAGGTCGGGCAGTGGTGGCCTCCACGGCTTCCCAGGCCTCTGACACTTACACCTGCTCTTCCCCTTGGCCTGTATGGTTCCAGCAGACAAGACAGCTGCGGGGAGGTGTGGCCATGCCAGACGGAGCTCCTCCATGGCTGGCCTGGACGGGCGGAAGTGTGAGAGAAGTCCGAGACGCGCTAGCCCGTGCCCCTTCTTGCTGTCTTTCCCCAGTAGGCCTTGGTGCCAGCACCTGGAAGCGTGGTGTCGTGGTGAGCAGGGCGTGAAAGCAGACAGACTTGTGCAGCTCTCCTCACTCTGGCCCTAGGCCTCAGGTTTGCGAAGGCATCACCCTGTGCTCACTCAGCTCGCTCTGCTCCCCGGCACCCCCACACCAAGTTGTCATAGCTGCAGCCAGCAGCCAACCTTTTTTGTCCCCTCCCCTGACCCAGTGTCGTCCCCAGCAGGAATTTTTCTCCCTCAGGAAGGGCAGGGGTGAGCAGACAGCTTTCCTGGTGGAAAGGGGTGGATGGGCGAGGTGCCCAGGGCGGTGACGGCCGCCCCTGAATGTGAGCTGGCCCTGCCCGTGGCAGGGCAGGGTGCGGCACTCAGATGGAATGGGCCACCAGCATCAGGGTGTATTTGTGCTCTTTAGCACTGGGCTCTGCCCACACCACAGGCAGCCCTTGGGAAAGGACAGGCCAGGCATCCTGTCTGCAGTGACCCGCTGGCCTCCCTAGCCCACCCCTGCATAACTACAGCACTTTGCAGGATATAAACACTGGCGGCTTTTCACAGAGGTGTAGACCATTTATCTCTGCCTGGCCTCCCTAGGCAGGATCGCTATCACCCCCCACAGAAGAGGAAGCGGGCCAGGAGGGGAAGTAGCCCGCCTGAGGCCAGGAGTTAATGAGCAGCTTGCACTGGGGCTGGATGCCAGGCGTGTGTCTGCCCACCCCCACGGCTCCCAGCCTGGCCTGCAGACACCCGCTGGCAGGACAGGGAGTGTGGAGACTGTGGGGCTCCCTTGTTCAAATGGGTCACTTGGGTCCCAGCAGGGCCACATTCCAATGCCTCTCCCTGAGGAATCCTCTGAATTCCAAGCTGCTAACTATGGGGTGGCCCTGGTCCCAGGCCTGCCCTATACCCACCTGTCCTCCTGCCTCTCTGCAGCTTGAAGCCTCAGAAGCACCCGGCTCTGCAGCTCCTCTCTGGGAGGGGCTGGCGGGCTGCAGGAGGCTTGACTTCACCGGCCCTGTCCCTTCCGGCCTTCCAGGTCAGGTCGGGTCAGATCTCCACACCCTGAGCTCAGGGTGCTCTGACTGGTGTCTCAAGCAGAGTGCTCCTTGGAGGCAGACAGGATGGTGATGACTGTCCCCTGTGCCTCTAGAAAAGCCAGGGGACACTGGGAAGGGACTGGGCTGGGGTGGCAGGCCGAGTGGATGGTGGCAGAGTCCAGGAGGAACACCTAGGCCCTGTCAGCCAGCAAAGCCTGGACCCACTCAAGGATCCCTTCAGCAGCTCCAGGAGATCTGGATCGTCTGTTCCCACATTCCCGGGGCTGGGGAGCTCACTACCTGAGAGGCCCTCCCTCCACTCACGTCCAGGTGGAGAGCTTCCTCTGGTGCTCATCCTGTGCCCATCATGGCCAGGTGTGCAACCACCCGGTACTTCCCAGCCATGTGGCTGCTGTGCCTCCCACACAAGGTGCTCATGGTGCCACCCCGGGGATGGGTTGTGGCGGTCCAGCAGGATGCCCACCCAGGAAGCCTTGGCTGCCTGTAGTAAGTGCCCCAGAAAGACCACTGCCCTTTGCACCTGTGCCAGGCTCTTCCTGGCATCCTGCGGGGCAGGACCCAGGTCTGACCCAACCCTCACTTCCCTCCAGCCAGCACCATCCTCGTTCCAGACGCCAGACCTCCGCTAATGCAGCCAAGTGAGGGTTTACCTCACTGGCCCGGTGGTGCTTGGGCCCTTAAACCTGTCCTGGAACTACAGGATCTGTGCCAAATAAACGCCCTCAGCTTTCCTTGCCCCATTCCCCTCCAACGTTGCAGGCCATGGCTTGGGGTGTGTGTGTGTGTGTGTGTGTGTGTGTTTAGAGACAGGGTCTGGCTAAGTTGCCCAGGTTCGGCTTGACCTTGTGATCCTCCTGCCTCAGCCTCCCAAAATGTTGGGATTCACCACACCTGCCTCCCTTGGCTTGTTAAATTAAAATCTGAACAGTCTGCTCATCCCAGCAACATTTCTTCTTGGCACCCTGGGTCTGCCCTGGACTTCAGAAGTGGCAGCTCTTGCTGGGGACAGGAGGTGATGGGAGGATGGGAACGGGGACCAGCAGAAGGGTCTCTGCCGGGATGGTCACATGGTGCAGCTGCCATCTGGGCACTGGGCCCGCTGTTCCCAGAGGCTCCGCCCCATCACCTCGGAGTCCACTCCGCGTCGCCCACCGGGTGTCCCAGGCAAGGGAACCCTCAGCGTCCTCCCTGCCACTTCTTCCACTCCCCCTCTTCAACCTGTCCCAAGTCCCCTGGGGTGAGAGGCCCCCGAAAGAGTGTGGAGAAGAGGGCTTGGGCTCCAGCTGCTGGGGGAAAGGAGTGGGAGGCGATCAAATCCGCCTCCTGAAAGCTGCTCGGGTGGGAGTGGGCGGTGGCATTTGGGCCGCAGAGGTGCCAGGTGTTCTTGGAGTCTCCTTGCCTCCCCTCGCCAAGGGCCGTATCAGCGCTCTGATACCCGGCAGGGTAGGAGGGGCAGAGTACACAGGTACGGGGGCCTTGGTTCCCCAGCAAACAGGGGCCAGCAGGTCCAGGTACCAGGTCTCGTGGCACAGGTGGGTCCCGACCAAGCCCCACACCCAGGGCCATCAGGCTCCCAGCAGGCAGGATCACAGGATGTGGGCCTCTCCCTTTTAATGCTGGGTGACCTCAGGCAGGTAGCTCAACCTCTCTGAACAGGTTTCATTGTCTGTCTACTAAGAGGACTAAGAACATTTACCCCATCACACTGTTGTGAGTTAAATAAAACAGTGCGCACAGAATTCTCGGTGTGCGCTTGATCCTTTCCAAGCATAGCTGTGTGACAGTTGTCACAGCAATGGCAGCAGGTGTGGGACGCTTCCAGCAGGAGGTGGACTGTGAGGAGGGTTTGGAGAGGGAGAAGGAGTTAAGCTGTCGGGAGAGGGAGGACTGAGGAGCAGGTGGGAACCGAGGTGGCAGGGGTAGACTGGGAGCTGGGTATGGTGGTGCACACCTGTCATGCCAGCACTCAGGCAGGCTGAGGCAGGAGGATCCCAGGGTTGAGCCCAGCCTGGGCAACTTAGCAACTTAGCAAGACCCTGTCTCAAAATAAAAAATTTAAAAAGGGCTGGGGATATAGCTTAGTGCGGAGGCCCTGGGTTCGATACCCAGAACTGGAAAAAAAAAAAAAAAAAAGTAGCCCAGGATGGGTGGGAAGGTGGAGGCTGTGCCTGTTGTGGGCGGAGGCGATCAGGGGGTGCTGTGGACGGTGGGAAGGCCAGGCACAGGGGCCAGGCAGTGATGGGGGCAGATGAGGCCACCACCCTGGTGGGCTTGCTTCCTCTTGAGCCAGTCAGGGGAGTGGACAGAGAGACCCTCTTTGCTCCATACCGCAGGGAGCCTCCCAACTCTGGCTCCCCAGCACCTTGGCCTCCAGAATTGTGGGAGACAGGTTTATTGTTTGCACCCCCAGATTTGGGTTGTATTTTAGGGTGTTAGCAGGGGTGTGGAAATTGAAGGAGGGATTGCGGGAGGTTGTGGGCTTTGAGGTCCAGCAAGAGAAAGAAAGGCGACTACTGAAGTGCGGAGGGCAGCAGGTTCCAGCTGGAGGCTGGGCTACGGGTGGGAGGGAGGGCACAGCAAGGCTTCCAGCAGGTCTGGGACACCAGCACAGACAGGGCCTGGCCCAGGTGAGACAAAGGCATTAGGACCTTGGATCTAGTGCTGCAAGAGAAGCGTGATCAAAATGTACAGGGAATGTGGTAAATATTGATTACAGTAAGAGACATTGCCAGGAATCCCCCTCAAAATCCTCCCTTCT